GGGGGGGGGGTGAGAGGTCTGTTATTTCTGAATGCCTGGAATTGGTTTTGAATCTATGAAGGATCAGTTGGAATGCATTCTTCACAGAATGGTTTGGGTTGGAAGGGTGTTCTCTGATGTGGTGGGGAAAAGCACCAGGGCACCAAATTTTGTACATAAGTTTTGATTTTAATTTCAGTAATAATTTTCTGGATGGTGTACAGGTTTCCAGTGGTGGTTCTCGTGTATCTCAGAAAAGCCAGGGATGTTTAAACACCTCTTCCAGCTCAGTAACAGCTCTTGTGTTTTTGTTTGTGATTTTACAGGTTGCTATTAAGGACAAACAAGAAGGAATTGAGTAAAATCCATCCCCTGTGGAGGAGACTGTGCTTCTGAGGCAGAATGATGTGTCTCTTAGTTAGGTGATATATTTAAACCTCCACTCATGGCAAATATTTCCCCCCTTGTCCCACTTCTGTTTAGTATTTGACAGCAGCAGTGATATTTCGAGTTCGTTTGTTTGGGTTTTTTTTAATACCAGAGGGGCACTTTGCCAAGAGGATAAATGTCTTGTTGGATATGACAGATAAGTCATTAAAGTGATTTTTTACTTTTCTGATTGGAGCCTCAAGGCAAATATTTGTCCTGGGCTGTTGGGGAGGTTATTGTGGGTATAATTCCAGCATGAGAAGCTGCTCAGTGACAGCAGCAGATGAACTCTCTGCTTCTCCTGTCACAAACTCCAGGCACTGCCAAGTGAACTGGTATTTTGTTTTATTAAGTGCCATTTCTATAAAACAAATGCACAAATTGTGAAAACTTACAGTAAAAGAAACCGGATGTTTACAACGATTCAATGAGTTTAACAAACCCTTACCTTTGTTATTTCGTTTAATCTTGCACATCATGGCTGGTCTAGAAAACGTTCATGGGCACATGGGTAACAGTCACTAATACTGCACTAGTTCAAATCACGGGGGCGAGACTGGCACAGGGGACTATGACTTCTTCCAGATGGCTGTTATGTTCACACTGGTCAGGACAACAAGGTAGGTGAAGGCAGGGTCTGACACCACGTTGTTCACCAGGATCTCGGGGGGCTGCTCCCCGTTCACGCGGAGCTCCGGCCACTGGAGGATCTGTGGGGAGAACAGAGTGCGGTGGGGGTGTCTGAGGGGGAGGATGTTCAGCACAGCGGGGTCTCTTCTGGGGAAGCTGAGTCAGAGGCTCTTCCCCCTTTCTGAGGTGTGGTAAAGCTTTGGGATGCTCCTGAAGGGCCAAGGTTTAATGCGGAGCGGCTTGAGCGGGAAGGAAAAAGCTGTTGGCAATACAATTCCCAAAACCTTATGGAATCATAGAATCACTTGGCTTGGAAAAGACCTCCAAGATCACAGAGTCTGATCTTTAACCCATCATCACCTTGGCAACCAGACCAGAGGACTGAGTGCATATCCAGTTGTTCCTTGAGCACCTCCAGGGATGGGGACTCCAACACCTCCCTGGGTAGTTCATTCCAGTGTTTTAACAACCCTTTCAGTGAAGAAATTATGGAACATTGAGTCCCTTCATACCTATATCCAGTGTAGCTCCAGACCAGTGAGTGAGAGCCTTTGAGTGTGTGTGTGATTGTCCTTTCAGAGGCTTCATGCAAGGGAACAGTGATTGCCCAAAGGAGAACTGTCTCCAGAGGCCAGGGAAATATCGACTAGGAAAAGGGTATGTGAACACAGGAAAGCAGTGAGCCCTTCCCTGCTCTGGATTCCCTCCCCTCAGCCCCTCAGGGACATGGTGCCTGCACTCTTTGTGTTGTGGGGCTCTCCAGTTTAACCACCAGAATTTTAGGGCCCTTCTAGGAAGAGCTGCCCAGCTGCACCATGCAGGAGCTGACAGACTTGCTTTGCAGCTCCTGATTCCCGTCCCAGCTGCGAGTGCCATGGTCAGCTCTGGAGACTGCTTTTAATTGCTTGTGAGTGTCAGGTGTGGAAACATGAGGCATATTCTGGGATAAACCTCCTCAGGAGACTGGGATTAGCTGCCCTGGGGTGGAAGGGAGGCCCCAAAGGGTACCTGATACCTACCTGTGCAGGAGAGATCCTCCGCTCCGAGCGCTTTCCCTTTGGAGAGCCCCAGGCCGTGGTGTAGCTGGAGAGGTTGTACATCCACACGCTGCCCTTCTCATCACCACAGAACACATAGCCTTTTGCTGTGAGAGCAAAAGAAAAAGCTGGAAAACTACTGTGGAGCTGGGAGTCTGTTCTGCTGCAAAGCAGAGCTCCAGGCAGTGCTGTAGTGTCCCAAGGGAAAGGTGCCATATTTCAGCAAAACTCCCTTTCCAGCACAAAACTACAAATCTACGTTGCTCTGAAAGAACTCAATTCATTTAAGGATAAGTCAGCTATCTTACTCTAGTGTGGAAAAAGTAGTGCTAAATACTTCAGGATGTCTCCTGACTTTTTTTTAGACTGGTTTTGGAAAGTGATGACCAGATGAGGTTTGTCTGTTCCTTGCCAGCCTACAGGGCCAGCTGCCCAGTGTGTGGCATTCCTGCCCCTGGCTTCAGATGCACTGTGTCAGAATGGCTCCACCAAGGCTACGGGGCCCAGCCCTCAGCTCTGTGCTTTGAAAACCTGTACAAGAAAGACCATGGAGCCTCGGCTGAACCCCCTTGCAGGGCAGATGGTACAGCTGCAATTATTTATCACTTGTATTATTTATACCCAGCTGGTGCCGGGCTGAGGCTGCGCAGTGCTGGAGCTGCACTGCAGTGCTTGCAGGGGGGAGCCCTGACGTTCTCTGGTGGGCTCTGAAATCCAGGCCTCTGCCTCTGATGGGGCAAAGGGGAGCCCCACACACCTGGGCAAAGCACACCTGGCCCTGGGGACCAGTGCTGCCTACCTGGGCAGGTGCTGAGTGTCAGGTAGGACATGTCTGTCGTGGACCACTCCAGCTCAGCCAGGATAACTGCAGACACTGTCCGCTGGCATCCCTTCCCCTTGGCGTCAAAGGACCGGCTCCAGCTCCACAGGTAAATGCATCCTGGTTTGGAGCTCTTGGAAACTAGGGAAGAAAGACAGGAGAGGCTGTGTAAGCTGCTGGGAAGTGAAATGCCTCAAGACAAAGGCTGGGCTCTGGTGAAGGTGGTCCATCCAGAACACGACTTTTAGGACCTGGGACCTGATCCAGCAACAACTGTTTCCACCTGCTTTACCTCATTTCAGGACAAGTGGAGGCTGCAGAGAGATTTTCAGTGCTATGCTTACGTTCCTGAACTGCAGAACAAGCATAAGCTATTCAGAAAAACCCAGCCCATGATGTGGAACCTCCAGTTCCCCTGCAGAAAAGACTGCTGCCACCAGCCCCTGAGCAGAAAGGAGCTCTCCTTCCTTCCACACTGGCACTACTTGGCCAAGCATGCCCTTGGGGATGGGTCCATCTGATTTACAGTCCTGCCCAGACATGGGTTTATGCTCTAGGCCATATTTTTGGGAAAGATAAATGACTCTGGGAAAAAATTCCCTTCTGTGTAGCCCCCAACTAACGAGGCAGTCACCCTCTGCTCATCGTTCTTGCTTCACCCTGCACATGCTGAGGTGCCCCACTGTATTTTTGGGATTGGGCTGTTGTGTTTACACTCACCAACGACATCGTCATTCAGAAAAGCCAGACCATCGACCCTGTGAGATGTTGTCATGCTTTCATCATCAGGAAACTGGAATATGGCTTCAAAAGGCCTAGAGCAGGGGGGAAGGGTGAAATGAGCCAAGTCCTGAACAGGCAGCAGTGGAAGGGCACCCAGGTACAGAGCCCAGAAGGAAATCCGTGTGTTAGTGAGTCTCTTGCCAAGTTCAGATGAATTCCCACTTGAACTTACATGTCTATAAGTATGGGTTTATTGAAAGCAGAAGCCCATTTGCTTAAGAGATTGCTGTTTCACTTCATCTCTTTTTGCAGGCATCAAGATTAGTATTTGCCAGCAGGGCATGACTTTACTTGCTTCTTTCTTGTAATTTTTTCCTGAGCTCCCACAGAGTGCCAGTTTCCTGGGTTACCTCACGTACCAGGAGCAGGGAAGGCCTCACTGTGAGACTGGAAATCGATCCAAGAATTTACACTCTGTTACACTACTTTGAGATGACACACCCTTAAGTTTTGGGGTATTGGATTACACTCCTGCCAGCCTTCCTGCAAAGCAGCCTGGATCTTTAATACAAGCACAGAGCTGCAAGCTCCTTTAGCACATGCTCATATTTTTTCTGGCCACTATGGGAAGGGGAGGGCGTTTTAAGTTTGGTAGGACATGCTGCTTTTGCTCAAACCTCCTCAGTCAGAAATCAAACCTTTGCTAGGACTACCTCTTCTTGTTATGGAAAGCAAATTCATGGTCTCAGCTTTTGGTTCTCACCTGCTTTTTTCTCCTTTATCCAGTTTTATGTTCCAGGCAAAGCAGCCACTTTCACAGCCTGCCAGCAGGTACTGCTCCGGGCAGGTGGGCACCAGGGCAATCCGTAAGGGAATAGAGGCTGCTTCCAGCACCAGCAGCTGGCTAAAAAACAGAAGAGAACAAGCAGTTAAGTGGTGCTGCGACGTGGTAGTTACAGGCTCCTTGGACTGGCCCCATCTGGTTTTTGAACCTTTACCTTGCTTTGAAATTGTAGTCACAGTCTGGAATCCCAATATCCCAGAGTGCAATTCGCTTGTCATAGGATGCAGCTGTGGGACACAGAAGAGAAGCAGGTAGTGACACCGCTGCTCATCTGGCTCTTCTCGTGCTAAGCTGGCAATTCTACCTGAGTCACGGGCTGTTACACTCTAAGGCTGTGGCATCAGAGAGCTCATTAAAGCACAGCAGCAGTCACCAAGGCTCCTGGCCCCACACCACTCCACAGACACTGTCAGGCATGCACAGTCAATGCTTTGTGTTCTTATCCTGTGCTCTAAGAGGGGCAAATAAAGTTTCTTTCCTGCTGTCCATTACTGAGTTGTGGCTTCACAAAGTCGTTAATTAGTGGCCCTCTAAGCTTGTTTCTGCTCAGGGGTTATGGTGGGATCTAAAATACGAGTTGCAACCTCTACTCTCAGGCAGACACTGCTTTATATCCCTGGCTTACTGTGTTCACATCCACAGCAGCTTCCACTGGGAAAGTTAGGCACTGATGTAAAGGGTGAGAAATGTCACCATGCTGAGATATTGATAGCAGAAACAATCCTAATAGATTACTCAGAGTGATCTGGATCCCCATCAGATGACACCCCTCAAACTCAGTTTGTTGGTGTCCAGTCTCCAAAGAGGGATGCAAAGACTCTCCCTTTATTACTCTTTTTCTATGCAATATATAGGGTTAGGGTTAGGGTGAGCCTTGCTGTCCATATCATTATATAGATAAGCTATCAACCTCCTTATCCCTTCTTCTGCTTCTGCTTTTGGCACTCTTGAGCTTCTTCTTGAAAAGTATCCCCTGTTCTAAAAAAATTCCACTTTTAATGGTTCACGTAGCTCTCTAACCACTCCAGGATGTGGGTAATTGTAGGCAAGAGAAACAATGTGCTTTGGGGCGCAGGTGTGGCCTGAATGGCTCTGTACCAGCTCACTCTACAGCCTGACAATGCAGCTCCAATTTGTAATATGATGGTTCATTACCAGTCCATAAGCCACGGCCTCTGTGGGCCCCACTGTGTGTGGCAAAGCTCTCTTTGACATCAGGACCTGAATAAAAATCTCTGATGAGGCACAGAACTCAAAAAAAAAAAAAAAAAAAAGTCATTTATTCAAAACCAATTGAGCACACAGTTGTGTTTGTTGGGAAAAATGAAATCCAAAACTCATAATACCCCGCTGTGCTCGAGGAGAGCCCTGCCACTGCCTGCCCCCAGCTGCCTGCTCTGCCTGTCATTCTTCTTACTCACCCCTGTGGAACGCATCCACTGCCGGCCTCGTTTGTGGCTCATGTGTGTGTGCCAGCCACCCTGAGAGCCACCGAGGGGGAAACAGGAGCTGCTGCACCTCAGCTGAAGAGCCAGGTCCTGGCAGAAACAATCTGTCCTGCTGTAAGTTGCTGCCACAGGAGACTAACAATGGTCTCTCCCTAACGCCTGTCCGTGCTTTTTGTGTGTGTGTCCCTGCTTGCCCTGGTGACAACTCCCCTTGTTAAGGAAGCCTTGAATTTTCCACATTATTACTAAAGCTAAAGAGGTTCTGAAGCAGAGACTTACTGAAGAGGTGGGTCTCTTGGGTTGGGCTGAAGCAGACAGTAGCAATGGGCTTCTTGTGAGCCTTTATCTCTCCGTAGCAGAAGTCAGCTGCCACATGGATCAGTTTGACAATCCCTCTCCTCCCAGCAGCTGCCAAGATATTGTGAGCTTTCTTCCGACTGTCGCTGATCACCATTGTGAGGGTTGTCCATGCAACGCTGAAGAACTCCTGGGACAGAAAGAAACCAGGAATAGAGTGACAGCGGATGGCAGGACGGCTGTTAGCTCAGAGATAAGACAACTATCACAAGTGCTACTCAGGTGAAACACCACCACTATTTTAAGATGGAGCACCAAAACTCAAAACAACCCTGAGAAGAACACAAACTACAGAAACAGGATGTTTATTCCTCTATGCTGTCAAGCAGGCTTAGCAGCCACATACACCTGCGTGAGGGGAGAGGCACACTAATCTTTTAAACTAATAAAAGTATAAACCCAAACCAGGCTAAAAGGATAAGCAAGAAATATTTATTATGTATCTTCTTTCATTTAAGACCTGTCCATGCTAATGCCTGACAACCTTTCAGACCTCTCTGTAATATATATTATGCATACATGTATGTAAGTATTATAGATTATGCCATTCCCATTTAATGCTTACCCTTCCCACTTGCAACCCACCTCTGTAGCCACCTTATACTTTTTCAGCACTGTCCCTGTCTCACAATCAATCAGACAAACAGATTCCCCTCCACAGGTTGCCACGGTTCTGGAGGAGCTCACAATGGGATCTGAAAGAGGAAAAAAAATGGGTGAGAAGTTCCCAGGTTCAGGGATAACACACGAAGACTGCAGCTTATCACTGCCTGGTGCTCTCCCAGCCTCCTGTTTTCAAAGTCAAAGAAGAAATATGTAAGCAAGTCTCTTCCTGACAACGGAGACTACGGCTCGAAGGAGCAGGGGTCTAACGCATGGAGTCCGCCGGGATTCCAGAGCCGGGTGGTTCTGGGAATCCTGCAAACCTCTTTAAGAGCTCACCTTTCCTGGCTCCAGAGTCTAGCACTGGCTCGAAGACACAGGACCAGAGCTGCGTTTTAAAATCCTCGCGGCTGTTGCCTTTACTGTGACACTGAAGAAAATGCAATGGCTCTGCACTGACATCCTCCTACAATAAACCATCCACATTTAGACAATTCATTCCCCTGACAGCGGTTTGCCTGTGATTGCCTTGACAGAACCCTCTACTGAACACAGCAATCTGAGTTAAAGTGAAGGACACAGGAGAGGCTGAGGTGCCAGCAATGCTCAAGACTCCTAAACCAGCAGACAACCGTTCAGATGTGCCCAGCAGACCCAAGCAGGGAACCCCATCCTGCTGCAGAGAAGTGTGAGAAGCCCTTTAGATCCCCACTGGCCTGAGCTGAGGGGGAAACACCTTTCCCCGTGCAGCCATCGGTGTGACCTGAGAGCAAGGCTTGCCAGTCCCATTTCTAAGCACAGGCTTTCAGAGCACCACCTCGGAGCGCTGGTCCATCCATCCCCTGAAGGGGATTCACCGTCTCCTGGGGGTGTCCCTTTCCTTCCCTGATGCTTCTGAGGGATTTAAAACAATGACAAAAAAAAAAAAAACAAACCAAAACTTTAACTCACAATACATATGTGAGCTCCAAGCTGTGTAGAGCTCTGATGAAACCTGAATGCAGCTCCTCCCACTACACCAAGAGGCCAAAAGCCAGTCCCCAGTGGGCTGGTGGACCTACCTTTCGCTTGGAGTTCTTCACTGGAGTCAAAGTAACAACTCCATTGTCCTGCTCCTGGCTTTTCTGTTCCCCTGTCATCTGGCTGGATCTTCTGTTGCTTTGCCCCTTGGGAAACTGCTCTCCATTCTTCTGTGTCCCTTCAGCTCCCTGCTCAGGGGTTGTCTCCTTGGCTGGCTGGTTTGATGTTCTTGGTTTATCAGGAGCTGGGTCATCCTGCACATGGCTGGACTTTCTGGGATTAACTACAGCCTCCTCCTCGGTGTTTGCCTGGGACTTGGACCTCTTGTTTCCAGCGCCTGACTTTGAATGGTTTCTTTTCCTCTTGCTGGGTGTTACTGTGACCTGTAAGACACGTTGTCATGCTGTCAGTTTCTGCAGAAGGTTTTTAGCTTTCCTGAGATTTTCCAGTGATTTGTAAGTTTAGAGATATTAGTTATTCAAATGCAAGTACCCTCCCATGGTTACAGACCGGGCTCCACGAATCAGACAGCCCAGAGCTGCAGGGTTCCTAGAGGCAGAAGCTAATGAAAATCACACAGCCAGACTCATTTTCAGCTCTCTCTCCCAGTTACTTGTGATTTACATACGATATGGAAAAACAAATCTGGTCCATGGACCACGGGGGTTCAATCTGCAGCCGTTTCCAAGCAGGCAAAAATCAGCACAGTCTGGTCAGCCATCAACCCAGCTCTCTAATTAAAAATATCCCTTCCTAGGGAGTCAGTGGAGTCAGTAAGATTCATGGAATCTTTTGGGTCTCCTATGAGAATGGAAGCTCTCTCCTCTTGGAGAGCAACTCAACCTTCCCATGGCTGGGAAAGCTTCAATCTGGCTGTAGAGAATCAGCCTGAGCTGCTGGATACAGGCTGGGGCCTGGGACTGCCCCTGTGGTTACCAAAGGGTCATAAATGCAAACTGACAAGAGCTACTGAGTTTGTAAGACACAGAAAGGACATTGTTAATGTAACTGGAAAAATCACCTACCTGAGCCACGTCCTCTGCAGCTTCTCTAGGGCTTTCTGTACTTTCTTCCTCATTCTCATCTGCCTTTTCCTCTGATTCAGTATCTGAGTTTAGCTCCAGACCCAGTGAGTATGACAGAAACTCTTCTGCAATCATTTTCACCTTAGAACCAAATATGAAATATGTTAAAAAGAAAAAAAAAAAAAGACAAAAAAATCAAGAGCAGTCAAACTCTGACGTGTCAAGAGCTGCTTTGCCAAGGTTTTAATATCTGCTCCCACTGCTCCACATGAATTTCACAAGTGGTGGAGGAGTCCTCAGCTGAGAGAGCCTGGCAGGCCAAGTCCTCTGCTGACATTACATGACCCAAGAACTTCACTTTGTTATGGGCATCCAGGGTACACTGTTGTGAAAACAACAGCACAGCAATGACACAAGACAAAGGAGAGATGGAAGCCTCAATTGTGTGTATGCACATACAAATAAAACAAATGTTACAAACTAAATGGTGCCTTTCCCCACTGGGAGTAACTACACTTGTCATTATCTTTTCTCCTTTCATACAGCTTTCATCAAGAGTAAAGGTTGCCATTAAACTAATTTGCAAATAATTAAGTATTAAGGATACTGCAGTCTTGTTAATTAGTACAATTATGGTTATTGCTTATGAATTAAAAAACAATGTTTAATGACCGTCATCACAACTTGGTGCATGTTTAGTCTTAGTGCTCCTGTAACTGCTTCATGAAGCAGTGAAGAAAACCACAAAAAGTGATATCACCTGTCTGCAGGAGCCCTGCACCCAAATCCATGGAGCATTTCAATCAAATCCACTCAGAATCAGGAGCAGGGTCCTTGCCTGAAGAACAGAAGGCTAAGTGGGACACAACCTACCCGCCAGCGGGTGAATTCACTGAGGGAGCTGGGTCCATACACTACATTGGTTTGTACTGACTTCAGGAACTTCTTCCTGATGGACTTCACCTGCTCAGCTGTGTATTTCTCAGGAAGTTGGTCACGGAAGAATTTTTCCCAGTGAGCAGTAACCTAGGCAGAAAGACTGAGTCTACTCAACAGAAAAAACAGAGCAGAAAAGCACAAGAGTACCTGTGAAAGCATTTAAGAAGTTGCCAACCCTGAGGTAGCTACATGATGGCACCACTTCCATTTTTTTAATTAGTGTTCAAACCATGATTTCATCTAACAGAAAACCCAGTTCCTCTGAACCAAGCTCAGGTGAGTGTGGCTAAGCAGACTCTGCCAGCATTGGACCCAGAGCAATGCCTGATTTCATGCCTCTGGATCCAGAGTAAATGGCCTTAAGGAGTCTTACACCGTGCCTTCCTAACAGGGAGGTACTTGATAAGTACACAGGTATTTCACAATAAGACATCCCAGGCTTCAGTATTTGATCTCCCCCTCACTGATACACAGAAGGAATTAACAAGATCAACTAACTAGACTACTAGTGGTAGGAGCAATAATGCACAAAACCAACCAACCAACCAACCAAACCTTTTTCATAATAGAGCAGTAATTTTGCTCCAGATCACAACATGCTTTGGGGGGACAGTCTGTCAGGAGCTAAGCTGTGTACACAAATGAGTGAAAATACAGTTCCAAACATGCACAGCTGAAGAAGAACAAACAAATTCTTGTTACTGGTGTATGCTGGAAAAAGCAAGATTATCCTGAGCTTGGTTTTGTGCTCCCCATTCCTGGGGCCTGGACAGTAACATAAATTAGACAGGGAGGTGTATGTAGCTGTTCTGTCAGCACCAGGCTTCTCCTGTTCCTGAATGATGATCAGAGTGACCTGAAAAACTAGAGGGTCAGACACAGTCCTGGTTGGCCCTGCTCTTGTCACTTAAACCACAGGCAAAGCTGGTTGCACAGAACAGGTAGAGCAAATGCAAATAGGGACCAGAGAAAGCAGAAGTAAGACATTTCCTGGGTGGCCCAAACTGCAGGCTGGGCTCAGATCATACCACAGTTATTGCACATCATTTGATGTTTATTTGCAGCTCTGTCATGACACTGAGAACAATATTTAGTTACTTCTCAGGTGTTTAGAGATTAAGGAAATATCAGACATCTCACCTTGCTGGTGAGCTTACGGCTATGGACGTGCCTCACGTGATTGGCCAGTTTGGTTATGTCCTTGCCATTGAGCAGCCGAAGATTTTCCAGAAGAAACATTACTTTATAGTCATCGTTGAGCTAAAGAGAGAAGACACCAGAGTTACAAAAACTGCACACATGGTTCTGGCTTTAGCTTTAGTCCTTGATGAAAATACAGCCAATGATGAGAAGAACATATCTAGTAAGGAAAAGCCGTTTCTTAAAATCTCTTCAGCGTTTCCAGCTTGAACTTTGCCTTTTAATTCTGAACCCATGTTCTCCTGTGAGCTGGGATCTCAAATTGCAGACAAAAGAGCTGCCCAACCCTCAGGCAGTACTAACATCCAACACAAGGTGGGGGCTGTGTAACCACTCATCTGCTCAGCCTGAGTGCAAGGCAGGCTGTTCTACTCCCATCCTTTAACACAGAGGAAGGCCTGTCCTGCCTCCAGTAAATGAATTCCAGCAGGAATTCTTTGGGCCAGGTGCATTTTAGGTCAGACAGTTCACCATGCAGCCACGCTGCCAGCATACAATAGCAAATAAGCCTCTGTGGATGGTGACAGGGGCTGATGCCACCCTAAAGCACAAGTAAAATTCCAGTTTTGGATGTTTAACCTGTACAGGCAGCAGAGCCTCTTGGGAGAAGTCAGAAACCTAAACTAGAACTAATCACCAAGTTTAAACCTTCATCAGAGGACCAAGTCTGCTCTTCCAGAGCACAAGGGGCACTAAAACTAACTAAACATTAGATACTAAGAAAAAACTCTTTACTTTGAGGGTGGTTGGCACAGGTTGCCCAGTGAAGCTGTGGCTGCCCCATCCCTGGAAGTATCCAAGGCCAGTTTAGTGGTTGCTTGGAGCAACCTGGGATAGTGGAAGGTGTTCCTGCTTGATGAAAGGGGCTGGAACAAGATGATCCTTAAGGTCCCTTCCAACCCAAACCATTCTGGGATTCCATGATTCTACAAGGACATTTCTACACAGTTATTACTCTACTTAAGCATGATCATAAGATACTCTGCCTAATAAACTGCCTAAGATGGAGTCTGACTTGGAGAAACAGGAGTTCAAGACACGCAGACATGGATATCTGAGTGGTTTGGGGCAACTGATGTCTGCAGACTGGTAAAGAGTGGCACGAAGTGGTGGAGGGGCACACAAAGACTGGCTGTTTCCTCAGATGCCCTTACACTTGCTGCCCAAGAACAACATATAAGAACTCTGCATAACTGGTGTTTGTTTGCTCCTCTGTTTAATGCTGAGCTTGTAAGGATGGGGGGTAACTCACTGTCAAGTACACATTGTTCTCGTAGGTCAGCTCCTCGAGCAGAGGGAACTGTTTCAGAGCAGTTACATCTTCCAGCTGGTTATTGTTGCAGTTTAGGACACGCAGGTCAGGCAGGGTTAGGCTGTTGGGAAATTTGTCCAGTAAATTATCAGAGAGATCTAGTTTCTGCAGGTGCCTCAGCCGGGAAAACAACCGCGGGTCTAAATCTCCAGTCTTCAACTGCAGCTTGGACAGGCTGAAAACAAAAGATAACATGAACTGTCTGCATCTCACTGGAAAACCAAGGGCTGATTTCACAGGATACAAGGCCCCTGCTTTTTCCTGTCTGCTGCATTCTGGACTCCGAGCACACACACGTGGGAAAGATGATGTGTTTGGGCTAACAGACACCATCAGGGGCTCGGGTCTGCCAAAGTTCCTGCAGCATAATTAACCTGCAATTCAGATAGTCCCCTATGGGTAACAGAGCTGGTTGGGAGCAGTGAATCACCAGAAACATTCTTATTTTGTAGAAAGAACCTCTAAGAGTTTTGGTATTTTATTCCTTTGCAATGGTGATTCAGCAAAACAAGCTGAAGCAATACACGACACTTATTCACTACACCATCAGTCTGTTCTGTCCATAGAATGCACTGGATTTATTATTTCACACTTCAGGCAAGTGCAGAGCAGGCCCCCAAATAATCTGCCTGTTTTCAAAGAACTAACTTGACCAAAAAAGTGATTTTTCCATTTCTTCTGTAGTGAATTTTGCTGCAAAAACTTTCAAAGGCAAATAAGGGAATCTACCTAACAAGACTCCAAAGCTGCCACCAAAACAGAAGTATTGTGCTGAAAGAGGAAGAGGTATAATATTTGTGAGGGAAAAAGAAATACCCTTTTTCTGTAAGAAACTGAAAACTGGATATTATAAGCAGGATATTATATTTGGTTAGATCATTTAGGTGAGCTCCAAAGGGAGCTTCTAGTCCTGGCAGCCAACATCTCCTGAGGGCACAAGCCTGAGTTCCTTTAACAAACAGAAATCCTGTCTCTAATGATCAGTAAAAAAAAAGGCTTCTTGATATAAATGAAGTGTGAATAAATGAGGCAAATAAACCCAGGAAGCAAGGTCCCTTCTCCTTCACTTGCCATCTCAGAGGCCTTACCAGCCAGTCAGAAAGGCTGAGAATTCAGCTGGCTGCAAAGCTGAGTCTGACTGTGGTGTCATTTTGGGGAGAAACCCAGCACTGTTCCCCAAACTTTCTGACATATAATCAGCACCATGGTATGAAGCACGGGAAAAGCCACATTCCAGAAATCCACTGCTTCAAGCACCTCCCCATCACTCTGTTACCCAGATTACTGCAGCTGATACTCCTCAGATAAACCTTTGAGTTTCTCTCTAAAAATAATTATTTTAGCACAAGACAAACCAAAAGAAATAACTTTAAAGAGTACATGTGAAACTCAAACCCTTTACATCAGGAACAAAAACAACAAAGGCACCAGCCAGAAACTGGCCAGCTGAGTCACTCAGATTGACCAGCTCTGGAACACTGAAATTCCACTACATTAAACATTTGGAAAGACACATATTTGCAATGACCTCTGTTAAGGATCTGAGCAACAAAACTGTTTTTAGTGGTTTCTAAGTGTTTCAGAGTTTATTCTCCCTCTCTGCAATGTTTGAGGTACTAACATAATTGGATTTAGAGGAGACAGAAAGTGATGGAGGTAGAGGAAAATGGAAGGGAAATAACACCAAAAATACTTAAAAAACCCTCTATAATCCAGGCCAGAAGATTCTCTTGTTCACATTAAGCAATTGGTAACAAAGATGGAAGTGCTCTGGGGGTAGGGATGATATCTGGGGGTTAGGAAATCAGGATCCAGTTTCACAGAATGAAAGTGGCACCAAACATTCAATAAAAAAGGCAAAAACACGTGACAACTGTCAATAACCTCTCTAGTGGATACAGTGCCACCAGTGCTCTCTGATCCTGCACTGGGAATGCCATCTCAGTTCTGTGCTCTGGAACTGCCTCTCTCTTTTTTTTTTAATAAAAATGCTTAGGGAAAAAAAAAAAGGCAAAAGAAAAAAAAAAAAGTATCGCCCAAGCTGAATTCAGCTGGAATTTTCCATGGGCCTGCCTGCACTTACTTCAGCGTCTCGATCTTCCGGAGCCTCGTAGATCTTGGAACTGCTCTTTCCAAAAGAAGTTCTGTAGTGATTTTTGACATTTTTAACCTCCACCCCTCTCCCGGAATGAGTAATGAGTCAGCTGGAGGATCTCTTCTTGTAACCTTCCAGGAAAAATAAACAGGAATAAGAGGAAATGCTTTCAACTGACTCCAAAAGGGGACAAAAATAAACATTATGAGGTTATGTACTGATTTTGCTGCTGTGTTGGAAGTCGCCTTTTTTACTTATTAGGTTGGGCACAGGCTCCCAACACGCTGACCCAATCCATCTCCAAAACAACAGGGATACCTCCTGTGGCTGTTAGAGTGACAGACTTGCTGCAGGGGATGACCCTCAGGACCTTGACAGCCTCACAGTTACCTGTTTGTGCCTCTCCTGGGCTCTGCGCTCCAGGAATTCCAACAGGCTTTCAAACAAACAGCAACAGAAAGAATAAATATACCTGCTGTGAACCCCTTCCTCCCAAGAAAATGACAGTGCACTCACTGGCCTGGCCAGCTGGACAGACTGTTTGGCTGGCAACTCCAAAATCCCCTAAAATTTTGGAAAACTGAAGTAATTAGCAGAAACGTAAATACCCACCCATTAATAACATTATTTCCTCAGCAAGGAAGAAAAATATCAACAGCATTCTGTGTGTTGTTGGTAATTAACAGATGTTTCCATGCATTGCTGTGGATGGGATAGGACATGCACACACAGGGATACGCTGATATTTAGAATAACAACACTGACAAGTCCAAAGGAGCTTCATGAAATTACTGGTTCAGGGTTTACCACTCTTCCTGACACAGATTCCAAGGGAGGGAAATAAAAGCTAACAAAGCTCCAAGGCCAGGCTTGCTCCTGTCTTTCTGTGTTAAATCAGAGCTGCCTAAATGCCATTCCAGCACATCCTGGGGAACACAGGGGGCACTGAGCTGTCACAGGGGGCACTGAGCAGTCCTTGGGCTTCATTTCAGCACCACCACACACCTACAGCACCTGGAATGTTGTGTGATGGGCAACAAGGCACTGCTTTGTTAACACCTGTACGTAAGGACAGTCCTTCAGGTATGGAACATTTTATACCAGCACAAAAAGGCCGAACGGAAAAACAGTTTTGAACAGCAGATGTTTGGGATTTGATCCTTCAAGCGACAGAGCTGTCACCGAGAGCCAAACCACGGGGTGAGGCTGAACCTACCAAACCTCCCTAAGAGCTAAGGAAAATGTGACACCAGTGGCTGTGGTTGTCCCCATCGCCCTCTCTGTGACCACACCAACACCTCAGACACAGCTGTGACACCGCTGAGCCGCAGGGAAGGCCGGGCATGGCATGTCCCCATCCCCGCAGCACCACGGGGGATGCTGCGGAGGGGATGCTCGGCCACTCCGGGGGCTGACGGGGAACTGCCCCTCTTCCTGCCCCACAGCAGCGCTGGGGCCGGAGCCGCACGGCGGGGCATCCCCCTGAGCTCCATGTGCTTGGCTGTGCCCGCCCTGCCCGGCCCCGCGCCCCCGGGCGGGCCCGGCGCGGCCCCCGGGACACGATGCGTGCGATGCCCCGGGGACGGCGGGGCCGCGGGCGCCGGGCTGTGCGCCCTCCTTGGGGCGGCCTCCCGGCCGCGGGGCACCGGCTGCGAGCGCAGGCCGCGGCTCCGCCCGCGGGCAGGGCCGGGCCGGTGCGGCTCCAGCCCCGGGCCCACGGCCATACCCGCGGCCTGCGGTCACTGAGGGCCGCCCTGGGGCCGGCGCCGGCCGCGGCCTGAGGCGCCCCCGCGGGGCGTGCACCGCACGCTGTGACTACAATTCCCAGCGTCCCCCGCGGCGCGCCCGGGCCCCGCGCCGCTGCTGGGGGCCGCGGGGGCTGCTGGGAGCGCGAGTCCGCCCCGCGCCCCCCCCTCCCCACCGCCCACCACATCCATCCCGGCCGCGCGGCCTTCGCCCAACCCCCGCTGCCCTCACCTGGAAGCGGCCGGGCGGGAGGAAGAGGAGCCGGGGGAGGGAGGGAGGAAGGAAGGAAGGAAGGGCGGGAGGAGGAGGAGGAGGAGGAGCGGGGAGCGGGGCTGTGTGCTCGGCGCGGGCAGCGGGATGCGGGCGGCGGGCGGAGGGCCGGGCTGCGGCTGCAAGGGGATCCGCTCCTGCCTGCTCTGCGAGGGGCCCGCGCCGGCCGCTCCGCCCCCGCAGGTACCGGGGAGGGGGCGGGCGGCGGGGCGGGGCGGCGGGAGGAGCCGGGGGGCGGTGGGGGGCGCGGGCCGGGGCCCCTCGGGGCGGGGGGGGGGGGGGGGACCGCGACCCCCGTGCCCGGGGAGGGGCCGCGTCCCGGGGGCTGCGGGGCAGGTGGGGACAAGGCACAGCCCCCGTTCCCCCCAGGGGTACTGTGGATTCTTCACCCTCATAACGCCCCGGCTGCGCTCAGGAGCAGAGAGGGAGCTCACCTGAGCTCCACACATCACACTCATTTCCTACAGCTTAGCCTTGCGGCCCGGGCGATTTTTATCAACTTTCCTCATTCAACATTTATTGCTTATGACAAACCATATCTCTCCAGCCGGCCTGAGCGATGCCCACCATTAATCTCCTTGCACCTGTGGCCCCGAGGATCAACGGTTCTTCCTCTGTCTTTGTAGGATAAAGACATCACTAGTAAAGCAAAGTGGCTTCAAGCAAGCACCTCATGAAAACAAAACAAAACAGGGAATAGTTGTTCCCCAAAAGCAGCTGTAACATTTCTCATGTCTGCAAGAATCCCGTACGGTTTTCATGCTGCAATATCAAGGTTGCAGTGGTAAAAAAATAGAAATGCCTTTATTGCTTTTTTTCTTTTCCGTTGTTATTTCCACAGGGAGAAGATAATTTCACTTACTGTCCAGCAACAGGCCTAGCTAAAGGAAATGAGCACTCGGAATTTGCTGGCTGGGCATTCCCCTTTCCAGGGGTGTTCCTGGTGGAGGAGTTCATTAGTGAAGATGAAGAGTGTGAGATAGTGGAACTGATGGATCGAGATGACTGGAAACCATCACAGTCTGGCCGAAAGAAGCAGGTTGGATTTTAGAAGCACATTTGATCTTGGATGCCTCTGGAAAAGGAAAGATGTTTTCAGTCAACCCCCCAGATATTTAGATGTTTCGTTAAATGTCTTCCTTTGAAAGCTTTTCCTGAAATCAATGTCGAGAATTACCTGTCGTTAAAATCAACTTCTTGGAAAAACACATGATAGTCAAAACAAACAGTATTTGATGGTGCATGTCCAGGCATTAAAGTTCACACAATCTCCAAGGGAAAGAAGTGGGTGTGTGGGTTTGGTTTTACTTTACAAATCCAACTCCAGAGAGATTAACGTACATTCACCGAGTCCTTTTGGAACCTGGTGACCAGGAAGAGATGAGAACAGAATCCTGGTAGGGACCACAGCCTCTCCAAAAAGGCTTGTCCTAGATTTTCCCTTTACACTAGCTTTTTTCCCCTCCTTCTTCTTTTCCAACAGGACTATGGACCCAAAGTGAACTTCAAGAAGCAGAGGCTGAAAGCTGACGGCTTTACCGGTTTGCCAAGTTTCAGCAGGAAGATCGTGGCACAAATGAAGGCCTGCTCTGTGCTCAGTGGTTTCTTACCTGTTGAACAGTGTAACCTGGACTACACACCAGAGAGGGGTTCTGCCATAGACCCCCACTTTGATGACTGGTGGCTGTGGGGGGAGCGTCTGGTCAGCTTAAACTTGCTCTCCAAAACCGTGCTCTCCATGTCCTGTGACTCAGAGGACACCATCCAACTGTCCCCCACTTTCAGCAAAGGGGAATTAAGCCCCCCCGGGTCTCTCACACAAACATCAGCGTGCAGAAATTCGGGCGAGGAGGGAGTCGAGGGCGTTGTGCCGCCGAGGCTGGTTCCCAGTAAGGAGGTGACTGTTGCTGTTCACTTGCCCCGGAGGGCGCTGGTGGTGCTGCAGGGGGACGCGCGGTACAAGTGGAAGCACGGGATCCACCGCAAGCACATCGAGAACCGCCGGGTCTGTGTCACGTTCAGGGAGCTCTCTGCAGAGTTCAGCGCCGGGGGAAGGCACGAGGAACTGGGCAAAGAACTGCTGGAAATAGCTCTTTCATTCCAAGGGAGGCCGGTGTGATCAAGGGGAAGGCCGAGTTGCACTTTGTTAGGAAATTTGTAAAACGAGGTGCGGAATTTGTATGACCCGGTTTATTTGTGTGTGTGAGGAACCGGGTGTGTGCAGAGAGAAGCTCAATAAAGTGGAAATTTGACAAACAGAAATAAGGGACTGCAAGGAAGGAGTGGGCTTCAAAGGCTATGCTGGGCAATGGGAGCTTTTAGGCCAAAGTCAGAAATGAGCTGTTGTATCCATTAGCTGCGTTTTAACAAAAAAGCAAACAGCCAGTTTCTAAACACTGAAGTGCTTAGAGGAAAGTAAGTTAGAATCATTAAACTGAGCTGAAAATCAAACAGCCCTTGACACAGTTTTAGCCCAAGCCCTGCCACATATTTTAACCTTTCCTGGCCCACACTTGATACTGTCAGACGGTTTTGAGTGTTCCACCTCGCCCTGGGGGCACAACTATCTTTTCACCCTCCTCAGAACCTTCAGAGACCAGCTCCCAGGGGAGGAAGGTAAGCAAGTATCTCTCCACAGCTAGTACAACACACTGAGAACTAATTAAAGTAATTATCCTTTGCTGAAGATTCAGGCTCTTAACAATGAGGATTAATCATAAATTCCGTGTGTGACCTGTATCTTCTGGGATCTAAGAGCAGCATTTGCAGAGGGCTGATGCCACTCTTCAAGCTTGGACAGGGATCAGACCAAAGGCCTGCACAGGCTGTGTTATTTTCTGATCATTTGTCATCTCTGAACCCCGCTGTCAGCTCTCAGTAGCAAGAGTCTGATTTTGGGAATAAGCTGGGCAACAGACTGCAACACTGGCAGCTATCATTTATTTTCCTGGCACCTCCAGCAGTCAGGTTTGAATCATGCCTCGTACCTAAGATTCAAGTAGTCATTTGCAGCAGAAGCTGATTTGAGGCCATCTGTCTGCTCTGAACAAACTTCTGTGCTCTTGAAAATGAAGTTGTGCCACGGAAGAAGTGTGATCCTTTAATAAACACAGTTGTGCCATGAAAACCATTCAGCACAGTCACACCTACAGCACTAAAACACCACGTTACAGTGCTGCCTGGCTTTGGTTGGTAAGGAAAGGGGACAGACATATTTACAAACAGGATCTCAGCATCCCTGCACTGCTGTGTTCTGCCCTAGAAGTACTTCCCTGGCACAATGCACAGGATTTACTGTACAGTAATGCACTAATGCCACAGGCACTGCCCTCTGCTTTAGGGACTGCAGGGGAGGGAGCTCTTTACCCAAAACCCTTACTAGAAATCAGTTGGGTCAATCAGGATATTTCTTATCAGTTAAGCCAGCAGATACAGCTACAGCCCTTTGTGCAGTGAACCAGGTTCAGTTTAGCCCTGTATTTAAACAGCTGTGGACATTGGCTACGTGTTAATTCCTGCAGAGATCCACAAGTAGGGCTGCCATGAGCAGTCCCAAACCCCAAACCTCCATCCAGGCGGGCTGAGGAGTGTCACTGAGGTGCTCCAGGAGTGATTCCAGCAGTCACAGCACGGCCTCTCTGATGGAAACCTGTCACTGCAAACATGAACAGGCACAGAGAGCTCTATCCCAGGAAATTCCTCATAGGCTGCAACTGGAAGAGGGTAGATCTACATTAGGTATTAGGAAGAAATTCTTCCCTGTGAGGGTGGTGAGGCACTGGCACAGAGAAGCTGTGGCTGCCCCTTCCCTGGAAGTGTCCAAGGCCAGGTTGGAGGGGGCTTGGAGCAACCTGGGATAGGGGAAGGTTCCCTGCCCATGGCAGGGGGTGGAACTGGATGATCAGTAAGGACCCTTCCAACCCAGCCCATTCTGTGATTCTCCAGCTCACTCCCAAAAGCAGGGGGTACTCTCAAAACAGCAGTTCCTCACCTTTTCAGCAGTTCCTCACCTTTTCTGCAGCCTGGTGTGATCAGCACTGTGTGGGTGGAATCCACAGGCCTTTGGGAGCATGATGTTCCCAGGACAGCACATGGAGCTGCCTTTGGAGCAGAGGAGCTTCGTCCACACAGGAGGAGGAGGCTGTCGGCCTGGGGGAGCCCAGCACAGACACACAGAGGAAACCCAGGGCAGGTTCTCACAGAGCAGTCACTGCACTCATATCCTCATCACTCTTCCAGTTCTGAGCCTCTCCATCGATCCACTCCAACTGCAGCAATCAAGTATTGCCATTAATGTTTGGCCCTAACTTCCAACACTCCCTTTTAGATTTATATTGCACTCTCAGCCTGCTAAAACACTTTCCTTGTGTGTACCTGCTGTTCCATTCTCTCTGCACTGGAAGCAGATGATGGCTCCTGATGAATCAGATTGCCACAATAACACATACACAGTGTTAGTTCATTTTGTGCCCTGCATTTGTTAGCTGAGTTTTTCTGCCTCAATCAAACTATGCAGGAGCTGCTGCTCTTGCCAGAAAATTCCTGCTCTTCCTGGTTGGTATCTTAAATGTGAAAAAATGCAAATAATTAAATACTGAGCCAAAAACTGAGGGATTTGTCTCAATGGTTTTGAAGTCCAAAACTTAATCTAGTCACTACAGTAATTGCTGGGTCAGTCTTTTGACATTTTAAACAGCCTCTTGGGCATCATCCTTAGATCAAAATGCAATTACACCCATCTGTTCAGTATTACTTTACAAAACTTTATGTACATTCTCTCCTAAAAAGCCAGAAAACAAAACAAAGAAACAAAAAAAGAGCCAGAAAACCCTGTTTTGCAGAGTTACAAAGCATTAACAAATTGACTGTCAAGTACCATAGAAATCTGAGAAAAGTACAAAGAGGTTTTAGTCTTAATTAATGAGCTCTTAAAAGTAATTTTGTCCACTAAGCTGGTATTATTAACATAAGACAAATTTTAATGGTCTTCCTGATATAGAAGTTCCTGTCACAGCTGTTCATCTCCTTAACCATCTCCTTAACCTCCTTGTAAAGCACATGCCAAGACCCAGACCCTCATTAAAAGGAAGCACGTCTAGTTGTTATCTACTTGTGTATGTTAAAAGGAGAAGGATAATATCTGAGCAAGATTTTTTAAAAAAAACAAGGCAGAACCCAAGTTAACCCATAGAGGATGCTGGAGGACTTGAGCTGCCTTTCAAAAAATCAGTCTGAAATCAGTAGGAAGCGCAAAACTGAACAAATTTATCCAGTTTCTCTCACACAGCTGGACAATAACTGAGATACATTCGTTGCTCTACATTAAATATTGTTCGTGCAGAGATAAAACAAGAACAGGCAAAGCTAAAATACAGATTTTTTTTTTTTTTTTCCTCTTAGCACTCATCGCTGTCACAACCCTGGACAGAAGGCAAGCTCCCAGCTGGACACACAGGGATTCAAGGGAATGCTCTCCAAATCCAGACAGTCAAATTACTGAAACTGCTTTGAGTCGGGTGCAGAGAAAAGAGCCTGAGAGTTAATCAGAAAATAACCCCCCTGGCCCAGCCTCACCGGGAGCTGAATTTGAGATTGCAGCCTGGAGGGGGTGCTGAGGCAGCTATCTTAAAAGTAGATGCAATGAGATTTAGAAGATTAAGAAGCTGCAGCAGTGGGGAAAATCCAAAAAGCCTTTTGTTGTTTGTTTGAAGGCAGGGACAGGAGAGAAAGCACATTATGAAAGGCCAGAGGAGCACCTCCACCCCTCAGCCCAGCTCAGGTGTCCTCGAGGCAAGCTGGGCTTGCCCATCCCCACATCCCAGAGCCAGGGAAGAGGAAGGATGTTCTCTCTCTGCAGCTGAACCCACGCCGGAGCTCTCTATAAACACTCCCACATATCTGAGCGCTTACGGCAGCGCTCGCCCCACCCGGGGCTCTCGCACAGGATCGCTTTCATCCGTCACGTGGAAACCCAACACTGCTCCATCTCTCCTGGTCATAAAGTCCCTCTGAGAGTCACATACCCACTGAGACAACGGGAGCCAGGCCTGCCCTGGGGTGATGTTAAAAATAGGGAGCTCACAGAGTGAGAGCGGCCACTAAACACGGCGAAGGGAGAACCCGACACTGCTCGGGCTCCCGCAGCTCCCTCCGGCTCCCAGTCGTGCACTGCCTTTACTCCTGCTAACCAGGGAAGGAGGGAGAGGAGTTGCCTCCTAAATTACCAGGGCAGGTGCCTGGGAATGACACAAATTGGGCTGTACCCTTGTCTTTGACAGCTCCTTCCCTGCTGTAGGGTGGGCAGGCAAGGTCCCTGCAGCGCTGCAGTCTGCAGAGGCGTTTTTCTGCTGGGCAAAAGCTGTCCAAAAAAAATCTAGAGGAAGACTGAGGACTCTGGAGTGAGATCATGGCTGTCCCCTTGCTAAGCCGCAGAGCAAAAATTGGAGAAATGGCCCAAATAAGGTAATAACTGGTCCAGTGAGTCACAGCCCAAGGGGGCTGAGAATCAGGGCAACAGCCACCCCAGGGTGCAGCAGCCCAGGGCCCAAGGCTGGTACAGAAAGCCAACACACACGTCAGGGAGATCCTCAACACATGTCCCCAGCTGAGGGTGGAACCCTTGGGAGAAGCATCTCTGGGCAGGAGTTGCAGGAACGGAGCCACACAAAACCTGGGACACTCCAGGAATGACAAATGGACACCCCAGAAACGACAGAGAGGTGACAGCATGGGACAGACAAATCCAGACATGACACAGGCCTGCTGGGACAGCAGTGACAGTGTGGAAAAGCTGGAATCTTCATGCTTGACTGATGGGAACCCTGCTGACAGCCATGGGCAGCAGCAGGAGCAAGGATTTTCTAGTGCTGTAGCACAGAAACACCCACCTGGACAACTACAACATCCCTACTCCTTCCTTTATGGATGAACTGCTACGGCTGGTACCACAGGTAACCTGTCTGCAACACAAGTCTGGACCTGACAGAGGTGAAAATGTAAACAAGTTGAAGGAAGAGAGGCAGGAGCAAGAAAAGCAGATGCTGTTGCTGGGAAAGGAGAGGAGTTACAGCACGAAGGTGATCCCAGAGAGATCCCAGATGCCACAGTCACTGAGCAAAAATACTCTCAAGGGCTTCTCATGGAAGGGAGAACTCGGTGCCCAGAGAGACACAAGACACAGAGCTGCAAGCAAAGATGGGAAAGCATGTTATTATTCTGCTTTAAGTACATTTACCCCCGGGGACACCATCCCAAACCATACCTCAGACTCCCCCTGGAGTAAGGCGATCCCACTCCAGTCACAGATGCTCTGCCTTGAGACTGATCTTGAATCCAATCCCACCAAAGCCTCAACGAGTTATTCTACAAAAATCAAAGCACAGTTTCTGCTGCATTTCTCCATTTGCTGAAGTTCATTATACTTGCAAAAAATTAAATTAACAAATTGGCTGTTTCCAAACGAGCTGCATTGCTTTCACAGCACTGTGTGCACACGGGGAAGCTTTTCCTTTTAAATTGCAAAAATGGCTCAATGCTTTCCTCGACAACTTCCCGAGCTCTTCAGTACACAAGGGTATTATTAAAGGAGAGTGCAAAGTACAGATGAGAGACTTGTCCCATCTGGTCTGGCTCTGGCCTCACAACAGAAATTCTCCTGGGGGGAAGAGCCCACACGTGTAATACTAGGCAGAAAACTGAACTGATTTTGTTGTATAAACCTTTAATTTTTATTATGGTAAAAAGAGGAAGGGAGAGAGGGCGGATTCCTGGGGAGTTTGTATGAATTTCAGGACCACCCACTTCCTGGAGGACACACTCCTCATTTTTTTGCATATGCACATGAGTACAGATTAGTCATTTAGCACACAAAGCCTATTTTTCTTTGCTGCACATCAGCCAATATGGTACATGCCAACTGCAGCAAGAACAGCAGATGAAAGCCACAGACACAGTGCTAAGCAACTTGTTCAGCAACGCTCACATTCGCATGTAAACCAGAGAGATGAGAGTTGGTTTCCCAAGGCCCTCACCAGAGAGGAATATTGGGATAGTCTCACCCTGCTGCCCTGGGGTTTGCGTGTACTCTCCGTTCTGGGAAGCTGACATGTAATAATACACTGCCATTAAGTTTCTCAAATCCCAGTGGAATAAGGGACCAGGGTTAAACAGAACATTACAAACATCCTTAATCATTTCAGAAACCTATAAGGCCTCGGAGACTCTGAAACTGCAGTTTTTGAGTGCAGAGGAGGAAATCAGCACAGGATCAGGGCCAAGAAAATGTGCTTATGCTTCTTGCAGCCCTGTGTGGCAGAAAGCCTTACTTTCCCTTCAAAGAGCTCATGATTGCAAAACACTCTTTTCCCTCCACAAAGTTACCAAAAATCATAAAATTGGGTTTTTTTTCAGAAGTTTTTCACCCACAAGGATGCTACAGAATTTACAGGCTTCCCTTGCTAAGCACAACACAGACATGCAAGTGTCACTGTCTCAGCTGCTGAAAAAAGAAATGAGCTCAAGGGAAATGGATAGCTCTTTAATGGCACACAGCATTCCTGCCGGATCCAGCTCCATCGGGCTCGCCAGCACAAGCTCCAGGTTCCACCAGAGGAGCTGCCTGCTTTGGTGGAGGGAGAAGGAAGCATTCATTTCTGACAGAAAAATGCTACAGCCAATTGAAAAAAGCTAAATGATGGGATACACGGGACTGGGCTTGTTCTCTCCAGCAAAACAGGCAAAAGGCATCGCAGCAACATGTGAATGAAGAAGACACAGCAACAGATTCGTCCGATATCTGCTGTCACTCCTTACCTCCTTGAAACTCGCTTTGCTAGTCCTTCAAAGTTTTGTCTCATTAAATTCCCCGGCACTGTTCTGTTTTAAGAATGTCCTTGTTAAAACTAAAACACCTGTAAGCCTTCCCTGGGCACTCTTGCCTCTTCTTGGGAAAAAACACATGATCTTGGCACTCATTCGATCTAAAGTGACAGACGCTGCTGAAGAAAGTACGAGAGAACTTCCCAGCCTCCTGCAATTCAAAGTTCTACATCCCCAGCCGTAAAAACATAGTAAAGAATAGCAAGAAAAGAACAAAAAAAGCTAAGGCTGATTTCTTTCTGGTTATGTATTTATGGAATACTTGCTTTGGAACAATGGTGATCAACACTTTCAGTTTCTGTTGTGCTTTCCTGGATGTCCTTGAGTCAGCTGCAGGTACCCACGTTAACCAGCTCTGCTCTAGAAATGAGCAGCCAGTTAATCGTGGCTGCACTGACAGCCAGGGAGTTCTGACATGTAAGACAGGTCCTACACACACACACACACACTGGCTGTTTGGAAGCTGATGCAGTTTTACTTTTGGCAACAGAATATTGCATTTGTAAAAAATACAGATTTTTGGCTATCTGAACCAATGTTAAGGTAAAGTTTTGACCTTGAACTCCACGGCAGTGTCAACTCAAGTACCAAGTGTGTAGGACCAGAATCAGGCCAGAGACCCCAGCATGTGAAACAGCATTAGAACCCACAGCTAGAAATGGCAGGCAATTAGCATTTACATATTGAAGCCTCAAGACAATCCATCACTGGTGCGTCCCACCAAGTAGCAAACCGGGTGTTTTGCCCTCAGCCCCAGCTGAGGCGGCGTGCAGGCTCTGTCACACCACCTGCATGCCTCTGTCATGCCCATCTAACTGCACTTTGAGTTTGTGGAGCTCCTCGATCTCCCGGTTGTGCCGCTCCGTTTTGTGCCGCACCAAGGAGCGGTAGAAGTGAATGGTGAAGACGACAAAAATCAGACCCACGGGGACCATGATGATGGTGGAGACCAGTGCTGATTGCCACCCCGCGTGGCTGCTGGGCTTCTCCACGTTGGTGGTCTCGTTCTTCAGGATGGAGCCCACAGGCAGGAATTTTATCCAGCACAGCAGCACGACCTCCGCGAGGAACAGGAGGATTCCCAGGACGGTGGAGAAGCCCCAGGCCAGCTCGATGTAGGGGTGCATGCGCTCGTGGGGGGACTCGCTGATGGAGTTCAGGTTGTGGATGTTGCTCACTGCCTCCACGTTGGGCAGAATGCAGGTGCTGATGAGCAGGGCGAAGAGATGAACCGCCACGAGCACCGTCGTGCAGGCACTGAAGGCGATCAGCAGCATCTGGGGGTACTTGTACTGCACCTCCAGCTGCACCTCCACCATGGCAACCTGGAACCAAGGAACAGAGAGCTCGTCAACAGCTGCTGGCTTTCCCTCTTTTCAAGGCTTCCATCCAGGAAAGCATCTTTATTCAGGAAGAACACCTAAGGTCAAGTACACGCTCAAGCGCTTTCTGGAATGGCAGCCGGGATGGATCACTGCCGTTCCTCACACAGCCTGTGCCTTGGCCTTTGTGAGCCTCGGGAACACGTTTCTGCGCCGTCGGTTTCTAACATAACACGTCTCTCCTCGCAGCCACGAGCCATACGAGCTGCATCAACCCCAACACACAACAGAAGGAACTCATTAGACGGCACGTGGGGCGGGGAGGCAGCCGACAGCCTGCCAGCCCCCCCGCCCCTCACACCTTCTCCTTCCGCCCCTCACTGGCGGCGGCAGCGCAGGAAGTTTCGACTCCGGGTGTGTAAAGAAAAGCAAAACCAAGCAGCTCCTCTGGCCAGTGGCCAGCCAGGTTTCACTGTCCCCCCTCCATGGGAAGCACGCAAGCTACTTTATAGGTTAAGTCAGCCCGTAGTTAAAATAGCTGCCTTCTATTCTCAGAACAGTTTACGTTTGGTTTTATTACAAATATGCCCAGATACAAGTTATTTATATCCTCAAATTTCTCCCTTGAGGGCTAATAACTTACTGATACACTCAGCAGAAGTGGACAGCTACTGGCTTATGGGTGTGCTCAGCAACTCAGAGAGGAGTCTCCTTCCCAAAACAAGAGTAGGTCTCTAAGGCTATTTTTTCTTTAATCAAATAAAGCTTAAGAAGCAGAATATGTGCAACAGAGCAGGAGGCTCTTCTGAGATCAGAACTAGAGTCTAGTACAGGCCTGTTAACTGGTTTAGCATAAGAATTTGTACAATTACTTAACCTACCTGTGAAGTAAACCAGTACTTCTCTGTGACAGCATCCCTGAAAGGACTGCACAAACCTTTTTCACTAAGAGAAGCCACAAAAGCAGTGAACAAGACTATCAAACAGTCCTCTCTAGCAGCTGGCTTGGATCTGCAGCTGCACTTCATGATTTGCAGAGATATTAACTCTCCTGGCAGCAGGCAAAACGTCTGGTGATCCCAGGGGACCTGCTGCTCCAGCACGGCACAGCTACATGGAAAGAAGCCACGCTTGGGTTCCTGACTCAGGGCAGCGCCTCTCAAGACCATCATGACAAGGCAAAGTCTGAACAAGCAGCTCAATTCTTGGACACTGAAGCATTTTGCAGAACTGACTCATGATTACTTTATCCAGACTTCACATGAGACACCCCCCGAGCAGCCATTTCGGGCTCTGTATAATCACCTGCACCGCTCACTCTGGCATTACTTGTTAATAATATTATTTAGGCACTGGAAGATTAGGGGTCTGCTCATGTTCTCCCTGTGGGAAGCCCTGAAAAGGATTAAAGGGGATGGAAGCCAGTTGGCATTACTGCTGCCTTACCTGCATTTACTCTGAAATCATCAGCAGCCTGAATGAGGGGATCACAGTCAAGTCTGAACACATTTAGAGTCATAGAATCAGCCAGGTTGGAAGGAACCTCTGAGATCATCAAGTCCAACCCTTAGTAGCAACCAAGATATAATATGTGGCAAATGGTCTACAAGCCCAGATTTATACTTTCAGAAACTATTTAGGATTTTGGAGACATGAAAAATATTGTGGTGGTTCTTGGATATTCCCAGCCCCTTGTCCTGATTATGAACATGTGGAGAGTTTACTTTGTTTGTTTGTTTGTTTTATAGGTTCCTGTTTGCAGTTTACAGTAGTTCCTGTTGTACAGCAAAGAAAATATTAACACAGGATTGGCCTTCTATCTATTGCAAGGTCAATTTAACTAAAACACATTTCGCATGGCCTTGTGCATGTTCTCTTTGCAATTCCCCTTATATTGATTTGAGAGGGAGGAGATCAGACTTATTCTCTACGTACAATGAATTTGTACAGCGCTGTGGTTGCCAGTCACACCCCATCAGCCAGGAAAAGCTGCAGGTATATTGTTCATTAGTGGGTGCTGCAATAACCAGGGACGTGGTATTCAGCCAGCTGAATGGGAATTGTACCTGCATGTTCAATTTATAGCTTTATATTAAAGCTGAAAGCCTGGCTGATGTCAACATATCAATTTCTGCTTGTTATCCTTCACATGAGCAGCACTTTTCAGCTAATTGGATGTTTCCTCCCAGACTAACCTATTCCCTAGGGCTGGCTTCAGCTGTGCGATGTGATGAATTTTTAACACTGACTGATGGCTCAGTAAGAGGTATTTCAGGGGAAAACATCAACAATCCAGATAGTGCAGCAAGGCAGAAAACCAGTTCATTTAACCCAGACAAGTGCTGAAAAGGTGAGTGAGCTCTGATTGCTTTACCCTGCACAGACTGTCATGTCATTTCCTGACCGGGATAAGAGAAAGAGGACAAGCTGACATAACCCATTTAAAAATTATTAAATATGCTGCCTAGCCTGTAAAACTATTAATATGTCATGTTTGATACAATTATACTCTTTCATGCAACAGCCCCCTTATTTTAACCTCTTCTCAGAAGCCACTTTGCAAGGCTGAGCACTGTGCCAAGCCATGGAATATTTCAGCATAGGCTTAATTTTAAGCTTGAGAATCATCCTGTTGGACTCCAGGCTCCCAGGACCGAGCGCTCAGAACATTTTAGAATTAAACTGCAATTAAATTACATGCAATGATGGTGGGTTTTAGACCAGTACAGCCCCGATTATCCACAACAAAAATGATACTCATCTTGAGAAATTTAGACCAGGACAGATAATAACAGGCAAAAGGATGACAAATGGCTTAACATAAACCATGACACATTCACACAGATGGTTTGGCAGGCTGTAAAAATCACTCCAGTAGATCTGTTAGGGTTTTTGTTTTGTCTTTTTTTTTAATCAAATACATATCCTGTAGCGATTGGACAAGTATTGAGAAGATGGATTAGCAGTAACAGCTCTTATTTCCATCAGGAAAATTATTAAGGAAGTCTCCTAAGCTCCCTCTTAATTTCCTTTATCTGCAGCCTCCTCGGGGCGAATGCAGTCGCCCTACAACCCATCTCCAAGCAGACGTGGCACTGGAATGACCCACATCCTCCTGATCTGCCCAACTCTCTGCCAGAAATACCAGAGATGGTAACGAGGAAGGTTTGCATTATTCTACAGCCTGTCCAGAAGGAGCTGGATCAGAGCCATCGCCTGTTGATTAAATATCCATCAGCTCGCAATAATTTTCAGCCAATATGGAACTGGCTTGAATCAAACACACCGACAGGGAAGTAAATAAAGCAATAGCCAAGCCCTGAATGACATTTGTTTACATAGTTAAATGCACTCAAGGCTTCAGGGAAACTATTTCATAGAATCACAGAATCAGTTAGCTTGGAAAAGATGGTTAAGATCATCGAGTCCAACCTTTCCCCCAGCACTGCCAAGTCCACCACTAAACCATGTCCCTGAGTGCCACGTCTACACACATTTATCTCAAAATAACTTCTTTCATCAATAGCCAAATAGTTGCTCTCAATAGAGTAAACATCCGTGTACTAAATACCTACATGTCAAATTACCAGAGGAGAACCAACCCAATAGGAACAAATACCTCAGCTTTCAAAGGAAGGTCCAATTAGCTGGGAAAAAGCTTGCTAATAAAGAGAGATTTTGCAAGAGATTTTATGTCTTGCTGTTACTGATTTCAGGAGTACCTCTTATATGTTAGGCTGGTGGTCATAATTAACAGTATTTAGACCTGTGTGTTTATTGGACTTGCATTTTAAACAGTTTAGAGAGAAAACAAAACCAATGGTTAACTTTGTGTGTTTGCCAAGGGCTTCCAGCAACTTTGTGTTGTGTGAGCTGAGAAGGCATGCTTTGTTTTCAATGCCCTGCAGTGTGGGTGGGCTGCAAGCCCCCCGAGGCCCAGTGATGCCAGTGACAGCACAGCCCAGCACGGACACCTCGTGTGACCATGCTCGTAGATCAGTCCACAGGAACACAAAATGCTAATGTAATAACCATGTTAAAGAGAATGGTCACAAATGACTAACGTGGAACTCCAGAGGCCCACAGGGCAAGCACATGAGAGGCTTTCCAGAGTAAGGAAACTGAGTGAAAGGAGTCTACAGGAGAGCATCCAGCTTTCTCAAAAGAAGGGACCTTCTGCCCTTGCAGCACACAAGTTTGGTCATAAACCAACAAAGACTTTGTGAAAAGCTTTTATGAGCATCTCTTGCATACAGACAGAGAGCGGAGAGGACACAAAACCCCCCCAAGCACCCTCTCCCCCTCCAGTCTGCTCCCACTGAACCCCCCACCTGCAGCTTGACAGCTTCCCTTTGGGTGACCAACTTTGTCATCCCAGACTGCTGAAATGTTATGGATGATTCATGGTCTGGGGGACTGGGGGAGGAAAAAGCAGCGGAAAAAGCTAAAATAAAACAAGAAAGGCTATCTGGAAAGATCTGTCTTCCCCTCACAACTTCTGAGCTGCAGGATGCAACATCCTCACATCGTGTCCCACGCACCAGGCACTGCCCTCTGCCCCCCTGCTGACAGACCTCAGGAACAACCAGACCTGCCTATTTCCTGAGCAGAAAACCTCCCCCAAACTGGTTTCAATTCTCACTCCCAGTAAGTAAGAAGCAGAGGGGAGGTGAAGGGGCTCACACTGACACAGCAGAGCCGTGTTTTGTTAACACCACAGCTCGAACAAGCCTGAGCACTGGACCAGACTGTCTCTGTCTTGTTTATTTGCTTACTCCTGACACGGTTTTGACCTATGCAAATAGCTTCCAGATAACACCCGAATGCAGCACAGCAGAAAGCAAGCACCAGGGATTACTTCTAATAGGCAGCACTGACAAAAATATACCAGGTTTGGCTCCCTTCAGGCTACAGAGCCCTCTGACAAGAGGCTCAGGGCCTTTTCTCACACCTCAGTGTATAACACGATCTCCCTGATCACGCTACGCAAACTTCACTTTGGCAGACTGCGACCCAACCTCCACCTTATTTTAGACACCATGACCTGAGAAAACACACACAGAAATTAAAATAACGTTCAGGACCACAGCAACCACAGGGGCCTGGAGGAACTCCACGCCCATGAGCAACCTCACCCATGGGCAACCTCACATGTAAAGGCAGCAAGGGATGACCAGCCTCAAGGCTAAAAGAGAGCTCAGGTGCTGGATTGTTTAGCACTGCTGGTGGAACACTTGCAGGTAGGGGATTAGTATTTTTAAAGAGCTGACTTGGGAGTGTGTGGGTTGTCTTAGCTCATGTATCAGTGCTGCCTTGAGAGAGCCAGCCTCAAACTTTCCAGCAGCAGCTGAGACAGATGCCTCCTGCCTCTTCAGGAAACAACAGTATGTCCTGATTCTTCCCAGGAGGAAAACGCAGATTAATAGATGATTTTAGAGAGCCAAAACCTTCACGATTCAGAAAGCTATAAAACACACATACCATGGCAAATCCAGAGAGCAGAGCAGAGGTTCTGCTGGAAGCTTTCAGTTTGGCTCGGCTCAGGTACAATTTTCTCCAGGAAAGGGCTTGAACAGAGTGGTGGTTTGACGTGACCAATTCCAGGTAGCTGCGCCGGACCCAGTCCCGGTAATCCATGCCCTTCGTGCCAGGCTCAGAGCAGCAAGCAGGGGTGGAGGGATCCACTGGGACGTTTAATTCAGAACTCATGGTGAGACAAACGCTGAGGGAATAAAACAGTCACGTTCAGGCAGACAGGACGAGCATCAACTACTGGAAAAGCTAGGGTGGAACAAAGTTCCCCTTGGTCGGTGGGAAATGATGGACCAAATGCCATCACACTTGCAAGGTACAGAACTGAAAAAGGACAGTCCCTAATTGCCAAAAATGACCATAGGAACTAGGAAAGATTACACAGGTAAACCACTCCATCAGGAATTCAGGAAGGCTGTGCAGCATCAGGCTTTTCATTTCAGAGCTGGCACCTCGACTTTGCCCTCTAATTCCTCCTTGCTAATAAAAGAATTGTTTTACAGATGACACTTTGGCAATAGGACCCCATCTTATCATTTTGTTTTGAGATGACAGTTCTCTTCCTAGTGCATCATGGACTGGCTCCAAATGCACCTCCTAAGAGAACCAAAGTAACACCGATTCAGGGAGTCACTTCTTGCTCGTTCTTTGGAAACAGTTTTTTTCAGTTAAACCATTGCTCTTCATGGTTCATTTTAGATGGGCACAATTGTTCTTCCCCAAACTCCTCCAAAAGGCACACAGCTGATCGCTGTGTAGGATTAACAAGTGAACTTCCCAAGCTTTTGCAGTGGGAAGTTCAATTTCCTGGACTGCTCACACTCCATTTATCAGCCACGTCTGACTAAGAATCCTGTTCCCTTAATTCTACCAGTGGCTCTGAGCACGGGGAAAGGAAAAGACAATTCCAAGGGGAAAATGGAGCTGCTTCCAGGAAATTTCATCATCTTCAGATTCAGGAGATTACACTGAGAGATGTATGAAAGCAGCAACACTATTTCAGGTGGTGATTGCCACAGAGCCAAGTGCGGGGTCCAAACCACCCTCCTTACACCACCACATCACCAGGCTGCTGCCAAATGGCTCTGGTGATCTCTGTGCCATCCATAGACACAAGATCCAAGGAATGTTTTGAGCAAAAAATTCTCAGCTCTGGCAAACATCTGAAACTAGATGTTTAACTCAGCCTTCCAAAGAATGGAAACTACGATTTTCCAGTTAATCCCCTCACTCACAACTCCGCCATTGACACTAGAACTGCATGTTCTGGCCATAAAATACTCACCAGGTCCTAGCAGGAGGAGATGCCTGCCCAGAATCACACCTGGTGTGGTACTAATTAGTCCCAGCACCACACCTCAAGGTCACAGGCACCTTGCTACTCAAACCCACACCCCCCCCCCAGGTCTCCACATGCAGGGGACACATGGGGACAGCTAATAAAGCCATGGCTGCTGTGAGATTTGAAGAAGTGGCAAAGATCAACTGCCCAAAACTCTGAATGCTGTCACTAAAAGGGAACAAAGCTGCTTCAGGCACAATAACAAAGATTACACTGCAGCAGCAAACGAAGCATTGCAGGTCGCAAGACTGTCCCCCCTGAACACGGGGGGCTTTCAGGTACCAGCCCCCTCAGACATAATAAGGCTGGCAGCAAGAGCACAAGATCATTCCTGGGCAGTTTTTTACAAGGCCACCATTACATGGAGAACTCCAGGATGGCTCCTGACCTGCTCAGGAGTTTTCGAAATATTAAAAGAAAAAAAGGAAAGGCATGAAATAATATTCACACAACAATATAAGCAAAAGAGATTAAGAGGGACAAACCTTCCTGCTTGCTCTGTGTTTTCAGAAAAGGCAAGAATCACCTATTTTACAGAAAAAGAAAAAAGCCTCCTGGGAGGACTGGAGGCAGAAAACAGTCTGTGAGCAGCAAAATCATGAAGCTGTTTCCTGTGACAACATCCTGTGTGGATTCTGCAATGTGTAGCGTGGAGGGAATTAAGAGACTTTGTCCCCAGCTGATACAGTGATGGCCTCTAGTCTGCCATTTATTTTCACAAAATACGTAGGAACTTTTTATGTAGGAAGCTTTGACCCCTGGGACAAATTCCATTGAAAAGACAAATAAATGCAGAGGTTACAGAGAGAGGGCAAGAGTACCCAATCACATTTGCTTCTTTCATTAGAAAAATAAGCTAAAAATACCACAAGGATGAATTTTCACTCTGGAGCAGCTCAAGAGATGTTCTCAAATAAGTAAACAACTTCAGAATAAAATCCATAAACACAAACGTAGCCCAAACAAGCAGTACCAGGATGGCAAACTCACCTTGCTAGCTGTGGACATGGAGGGAGTGGGTGGAGGGCTCCAGGGGCTGAAACAGAACAAAAGAAGCATTTTGCATGCACTCTATCTGAAGCAGTTTTACTCTGGAAATACTTCTCAGATAGTTATCTGCATCCGGGGAGGGTTATTCTGAAGATTTCACACTCCTGCCTTGCAAAGTTAAAGGTTCAGCACACTTGCTCTTACAGAAATAACTGTCCTACAGGGTTTTACTGCACATGGAGTTTTGGATGGAGAATGAGGACTTCCCCAGGAGACCTCTTCCTCTGCCAGCTCTGGCAAAGTCCATCCCAGCTGCGTCTTCACTCGCTTCCATTGCACCATCAACGCATCTGACCCCACTTCATCTCACACTGGTAAGACAGAAACCTCTCTCTAATTGCCCCCTCACACTGATCTTGTTACCCTGCCCCAGGGAAAGCTTCTGCCATGCCTCACATCTCCGTGCCCTGCTGCAAGCACACAAGCAGGGATTTCTCCACAGCAGGGAATGAAGACAATGCCACAGGGTGAGATATGTAGATCTGTCTTTGCAGCACTGGCAGCTTCCCTGCCTGGTTTTGGGATGCTGGTCCCCTCCTCAGACCCAGATTTCTACCTCACACCCCCAGACTGGTCAGTGGGTTTGTACCAGTGCCTTTCTTCCTGGTATAACATCATCCAACCCCCTGCAGGCCGTGGCTAAGCCAAACCCCAGGTCCTGCTACTGCTCTTCCATGAGCTCAGGCCCCCTTTGCTATGGGGAACCCCTTTCTATGTCCCCTTCTGGCTCGGGGCCCCCCAGAAGCACCCCTGGGGTGTCACAGCACCCAGGCAGGGTGTGAACACCCCACAGCTGTGACCTCCCTTAAGGCAGCAGGGGATGTGATCCCTCACCCCCATCACCACAGCTGGGATCCTACTCACAGGGCACTGCCCGAGCAGAGGATTTCTCATTCTCCTTCCCAGCTACCCTTAGCACACCCTGGGCAGGATGTACGGGAGGATCTCCCCTCCAACAGCACCCTCGGACAGGGGATCCCCCAGGCCAGGATAAGACCCACTCACAGGCAGAACCTTCCCCTCCAACGGCAACCTGGACACATCCTCCCTAGGCAGGATGAGACCTCCTACCACTGGATCCCTACCCGGCATCCCAAGGCTCCCCCACATCTCCTCATGCAGGACGGGACCCAGTTGCTCGATCCCCTTTTCCAACAGCACCCTGGGTCATCGGCTTCCCCAGGCTTCTCCCCAGGCTGGACGTGTCTCCCCACAGCACCCCCGGCGAGAGGATCCCTGTCCGGACACATCCCCCGGGAGCCGGCCTGCCCTCTGCATCCCAAGGGACCCCCAAAGCACCGCCGGGCAGGACGGGACTCCCCTCCCTCTCAGCCCCACCGCCCTGGGCAGGGGACAGCCCCCAGCGAGGCAGGGTGAGGCGCGTACCCCCCCACCATCCCGGACGCGGGATTCTCCCTGCGCGGGCAGGATGAGGGCGTACCCCCCCCACCATCCCGGGCAAGGGAATCCCCATCCAGGCAGGATCAGACCAAGTCCCCCGGGCAAGATGAGACCTCCTCCTCCCGGTGGGCAGGAGACGCTCCCACCTCCGCACCCCAAACACGGAGGGGATGCCCCCGCTACCCCAGAGCGCGGGGCCCGCTGGGGGAGAGCCCCTACCCCGGGGCGGGATGCGGGGCCGCGGGGGCGGGCCGTGGCTCACCGCGCTGCTGTCCGGGGGCCGGGCCGGGAGCCCCGGGATTGCGGGCGGGAGCGGGAGAGCCGGAGCTGGAGCCGGAGCCGGGATCGGGAGCCGGAGCTGGAGCCGGAGCCGCCTCCGCCGCTGCCACGGCAACGCCGGGCACGGGCCACGTGACCCGCAGGAAACGGGGGGTGCGCCGCCACGCCCCCGCACGTGACCGCGCTCTGATTGGGCCGCGGGGCAGCCAGGTCACGCCCCCTCGGCGGCGGGGGCGGGGCCTGGGGAGGAGACCCCCGCCCGCCCCCCCTTCCCCTGCGGAGCCGGGGCCGCGTTCACCCCCCGCACCCCGGGGGTTTTGGGGGTCCTCGACACTGGGGATGTGCTCAGCGGTCACAGAGGAGGGGCAGCCCCCAGTACCCGCAGCCGGGTGGGATGCCGGGGGTCGCAGCTCGTCAACGCGCATCTGGCAGGGCAAAAAAAAAAAAATCAGCTCTGCGGATCCCTGAAGTCACGGTCGGGCTGAAAAACCCCCACTGGAGAAGGTGTTGGTGGGTCTGGGGCTGGCGTTATCTCTAAGTCTTGGCACAGAGAAGGTATTGGTGCAATGGGATGCAAATGTGCTTTTATTACAGTTGTTAATTACACAGCAAAAAGTCTCCACTTACATAAGTCAAAAGGCAGCGCTGCTCTGCCTCCGCCGGGCTGCAACCTCCTCTGGCTCCCTGGAATCCCGGCTGCTATCTCCCTGCACTCCTCCTCTATTGACTCAGCAGGAAATCCTGTATAAACCCATCAAAAGGACAGGGACAGCCTTATGGGAAAGAGAGGGAGTTCCTTCCCTGGAAATGAGATAAAGAAAATGCTGAAAGGCAGCACAATGGGTCAGCTTTATCACAGGGTAATCCCATCATCCTGAATTCCTTTCTGCCCGGGGGGGAAGGAAGAGACAGGAAGACACTCCCCAAAAACCTAATAAAGAGAAAGATACATTTTTTTATCCCGAGTGTGTTTTTCACCTCTGAGATCAGGAACACCTCTGCTCCGTTTCAGCACTAACACTGCTGTCTCTCAGGGTCCCATGTTTAGAAATGGAACGGAGCAAACTTTAATCCCTGAAGATTAGTCTCCATCAGGGAAAAGAGAGGGACTCCTCTAGAAAAGCATCCAGAAAAAGAATTTAACATAAGCAGGTCAAACTCCCGGGCAGTTTTAAGCCTTTAAATTATTAGTGCTTTGTCAGGGCCTATAGGAAGCAGTTGTAGAGTTATTCCTCATTTTACTACACACGGGAGCACTTCCTTTTTTCTACTCCATGGATGACGTTTTCCCAGTTTTGAGGTCACAGAGTACCTGCATTTTGTCTTAACAAAGAAACATCCCTCTGAACCCCCCTTTGAAGTGCTTTGTATTCTCAACCAGCTCGTACTGCCGGGAACAACCACAACACACGGCAGAGTATTTTTTGGAATTCACAGCAACACCTACCAAATACAGCTCCTACTGCTACACTGAGCCACCCCAGCGAGACAGACCGTGAGGCAGATCCCACCTTCACCAACATGTTCTCTTAGCTGTTTGTGGATTTCACCTACAAACTCGGCATTCCTGCAAAATGGAGAGCATGAATAATTCAGCACGGGTGAGGATGGCATCTTAAGGAGGCAGGATGAGGCCACACAACCTGAATTTGTTCAATCACCAACATCTGCTCTACTTAATGCAGAACAGGACTTAGCTCAAAGGCCTGACAAGCTCAGAGGCAGAACATCTTTATTTGTGAGGCTCTCAGTTCTTCTCTGTCCATAAAAACCACCCTATTTTTATGGCTCATCGCACAGTATCCACAGGGTTTGCCTGTCCTAAGGGGGCTTCACGTGAAGCAATGCTCATAACTCATCTCTCCACAGGGAAAATGCCAGGTGCAGAACATCCATCCTGCATCTGAAGTGCTCAGGAATGAAACACTGCCACAACCTGCCTCTGTGGAGACTGAGCAGAAAACAGTTCCATGCAGATCTCTAACCTGGGAGGGGGAACAGCTGGGATATGGACCTTGCAGGTTAGAAGTTATCCAGCTCTAAAGTCTTTGGGTATGTACAGGGGAACTAAACACAAACATTACTTGCACTTGATCACATCTGCTTCTCAGCCGCCACGGTAACACCACTGAGAAGCCATTACATAAAGCCAGCTCAGACAAAATGCAGGATTTCTGGCAGCACTGCTCAACAAAGGATAAATCTAAAAAGAGATTCTCCCTTTTTTACTGTTTTTGCTTAAAATAATTTGGCATTAACCAAGGCTTGAGAAGAAGTAGCACCACATTCTGGATGCAAGGCTCTGGGATGAGCATGTCTGAAAGCCAGCAGGCACTTCTAATTAAAGATACACTGAAAAGACAACAATCAAAGTTACAAGTAAAACCACCACTGCATATGCTTTTCATTTAAGCACCGGTAAGTAAATGCATATATAGATGTTATCATTCCTCCTGGGGAATCCAAAGTGCAAAGCAGAGAGCTCAAGCAGAGAGAAAGGCAGGTGTCATTACATGAAGCTGTAACACAAGCAGAATGATTCCATTCCAAGCCTTTCTGCCACAGCATTTGGAGGCTTTACAGACATAATCTTTGGGAAAATACATTGTTCCAATCCAAAAGCAAAAAGTAAGTGACATGCAGCTAACACCTTTTCCATATTTTCATGTGTGCCAAATCACTTGATCTTTTTGTCCTTTCCTGCAGCCCTGCAAGCATCTCTTTATTCTACTGAAATCCTCTTAAAAAATAAAATAGAAGACAGAACAATCCAACACATCCCTTTTATTAATTTAAAAAACATGGAAGAAAAGCAATAGGGAAAAGTTTTAGCAATAAAAAAGGGATCCCGATTAAAAATCTATAGAACTTGTCTAGCAACATAAACTGATTTCTTTGGGTTAGAGATGACCCCATACAAAACCCCAAATTCAGAACACTCACAGTGCAGGAGAGTCTGGCTACAGACCACTTTTCTACTTCAGGTTGAACTCTTCCCTTAGATTCATGTATCCCACTGCTACCAGCTCCGCCATAAGTAGAATACGTAGCCTTCACAGTAATATTTCCCTTAAATGGTAATGGATATGTTTTAGCTTTCAGACAGAAAAACACTCTGGGCCATGTTAGAAAGAACTCCAGGGTCACAGAGACTTATGGCTGACTCTTTAGAGCAAACTTAGAGCAGACTGCACAGCAGTTATACAGGCAATTAAGAAAAAAATCTCTTATTTGGCATTTCTCTATCATTATCTCTCGGGCCTGCGACGTGAAGGCCATGCCCCGTTAAGCAGATGTAACGTACGGCCAATGGGTTCTGCTTGGCTGAGATGAAAGGCTTTCATGCTCCTGGATATAAAGCAATGAACAGTGCTTCCAGCTGTCCCTGAAAGGCCTCATCCTCTTCCCATCACAAAACTTGGCTCTTCAGCGTCATCTTCCTTCTCTTCCTCCTCCCTGCTGTCCTCTTCGTCATCCTCGCTGCTGCCTCGCTCTTGGGATTGATCTGGCTCTACAAACACAAACAGGGTGAATCCATAAGGTGTTCCCACCTGTCTTCCTTCCTTTTGTTTCACAACAAAACAGTCCCAGGTGCAAAGGAAACACGTATTATTAGGTCATGCTAATTAGCACGGGTGGATAACATATTCCCCTGTGTCCTCCTTGTTAAGTATCTCACAACTAAGTAGTCCCAGATAGTCAGGAAACATGTATCAGATTATATTCATTCTACCGAGAGACAGGGAGCTCAGAATATCAAATTCCCCCTTGGAGAAGTATTCCCTTACCTCCAATGTTACCAAGTCCACCTCCTATAGAACATTATTTCTTCAAACAGAGGTAGTCAAACACCAGGGATGATGGATTATCTCATTCCCAACCTCTGCAGGTTGGCATTAACTTTCAAGGATCACAGAGTACTGTTACAGAGCGCTGGGAAACCATGGACAAGACTGAGTATATTCCTACACCTATCCTAAGTCACAGAAACTCCACGGGGTGCCATAAACTTTTACAGACTGTTTGCTATACTGCAAGCACAGGAACCCATTAAGATACGCCTAAGGTTAACAAGGGTCGCAGAAAACTCGTGAGGCCTGCTGAAAGACCAGAAAACACTTACTAGAAATTAAATAACCAATCATGAAAATGATCAAGTGGGACCTGAATCTGACTTTTTCTGCTCTTTACTGTTGCTCAGGCCCAGTCAAGCTCATGTCCTGACCAGTTACACGTAGGATTTAGGCTCAGTGGTCTGATGCCACCGCGTGGTGAAGTTCTGAACTTTCATTTTGTCTTAGGGGTTTGTACAATAACGTAACTTTAACAGCTGACCTGATTCGCTGCCAACCCTTATTGTGAATGTATTTACTACAACAAAGGTGAAAGGTGGCAATTCGGAGGTTTTATTCATTCATTCAAAACGGAAGATAAATGCTTGCCTACTACATACAACAAATGCACTTCAATTAATTTGGGAAAATTCAGATCTCAACCAGGGCACACAAAACTAGAAAAAGAAAAGACTGTTCTCAGTAGACTAGAGATGGCTATCAGGGGCTTCTGTCTCTACTGGTATTATTATCATTGTTATTACTACTACTATTATTATTATTTTACATAGAGAACCACAAACTGTAAAGAGTTAAAAATGTAATGAAGACAGGGGAGTTTGGATTCTTTCAGGAACTTGTGCCAAACAAAACCACTCCAGCCCCACAACTGGTACACGGCAGTGCCAGTCCCTGATCCAGCTCTCCTCTCTCCCAGCCACTCCCTAAAGGGATGGGTATTCTGTTTTGTTCACTCAAAATGAACAAAAGTATGTTGACTCACACTTAAATCCTCCTCCTAGTTACAAGTCATAAATGACTAGCTTAAAAAAAAAAAAAAAAAAACCAGAACAAAACCAAAACACCCAAAAAACCTACTCTGCTACATCCACTTGCTGTCACAAGTAAAATTAACCTAACAAGTAATTTGTCCTCCCGTGTTTACATGGGAGGCTGGCAATGGTTCAGCTGAAACAGATCCAATTCTGAAAAGCAAAGCAGAATTAAGGTAGAACTGTCAGACAAGTCACTGTTCCAGCAGAATTACCAGCAACTGCTGTAACTTTAAGAATGACTGCAGTTAGTGAGCTAATTCACAAAGGACAACTATTTGAAGGAGTAAGCTAAAATAAACTCACTGAAAAGAAGCAACAATGTGCAAAAGTTTGAGCAAACAGTTACACTGATGTTTGCTGAACATTAATTTCAACACTGCAGGAGGACAGAGGCAGTCAGGTTTTCCATGTTTATTTCTATGCAAATAAAATAGTCATGTGGAACAGATGGCACCAAGGTGGCTCGATTTCTTACGCACACAATCATAACTCAGTTTCTTGCTGCCCAAGCTGTGCATTTTTTTCCACCTGTTTTCTCCATAAGCGTTCAAAATATACATAAGAGAAAAGCACAGCCTTGAACAATACTGCCTTTCTGAGCAGATGATGTTCTAAATCTGCAGTTTGTCGGAATAGCTGGGGCAAAACATCCACAAACAACCAAATCGGATTCCAATGTTTGCTGTCCAAAATTTCCCCTAATAAAGGGAAAATATTCACAAACGGCCAAGTTATTTGTAAGATTAAATCTCAACATAGATGGCTTTCAAAGAGGATTTTGAAACATTAGCTAAAATAACAAGCTTAAGGCTCAAGCTTCAATCCATGTATTGAGAATGCTTGAGGTGGGGGGGTGGAAAAAACCCTTCTAGGCTTCAATTAGGGAACAGAATTGAGTCTTGAGGAAAGAAAACTAAATTTCACTGACCTTTTTCCTGCTTCTTTTGTTCAAGTTTATTTTTCTTAGCTTGCAGCTTCTTCTCTTTTAACTTCTGGCTATAAAGCAAAGGAAAAAAAAAACCTGTGACAAATCCTACATTTGTAAAGCTTCTGAACATTCATACACTGATAAACGACATATTGGAAAACCTGATTTCAGAAGAGAAGTTCAATTTAAATTTGGCCTTAACTGAAAATTCAGCAAGAGCAAACTTATCACACGATCAACAGAAACTTTTCTATGTTGTTTTTAGTCTAATGGATCTTTTAAAAGTCTTCCATGATGCCACTGCAACCCAAACTATATGATACACAATAATCTCCAAGAACACAGAAGGAACAAAAATGAAACTGCTCCTATATTTTAGCTACCTAGGCTAATGAACAAAAAGAGAAAATGGTGTCAAAACCTAGACTGCTGGTATTGAACACTGGGGAAAAAATATCACCAGTAACATATACTTTAATTGAAAAAAAAATTTTTAAAAAAATAGTGCAGTATGCTTTGACCTTCCTCTTTGGCTGTACTTCCTCGGGATATTGGGTCCTTGGAACAACACTAGGAGTAAGAGGGAAAGTCTGTTCATAGAACCCAGTTTTGTTTGCCCAGAAAAGGCAATCAGGCAAGTTAATGA